CACCATCGCATGGAAGTATGACCCATCTGTTTAAAGGTCATGGTCACCATTGCCTTGCAGTACGATCCGCCTTTGATGATTGTGTAGTCTATATCAGCTTACTTAACATTCTGGCAGTGATGAACTTTTGATCCCCGCCGCACCATATGTTGTACCGACGGTGTTGACGATTACTTTACAATCCGACGGTGAGGAGCGTATTGATCACCAACAGCGAGTGGTATGATGCGGTGGTCATGACAAACCAATCAACGGCGGTTCTATGCGTAACCGACTGTACGTAATGGTACTGCATCCGGTTTCACAATCTAATAACTAATTCAGATGGACCTTAATAGCTTACTGAACAGACACCATACAGATATAATCATCGAATGCATACATCATGTCTACAAACAAAAGTACTTTTTGCAACAACAATCGACGCTAACGTATCATGTGTGTCACCTGATGTACTAACACAACCGACAGTTTGATTACATAATAAGGTACTGATGTCTACAAACTTACATAACAAAAACTAGGTAGTTGTGCTCCTGCTATGTGCCAAAAGTGCTTGCTTCGCAAAGTGAATATAATTAGTGCATCCTTCGGATTGGTAGCCAATGCATCATGGAATCCCTCCTGTTGATCTCTGAGCCATACCAGGAAGTCTATTGAAAAGCATCCATACTGACCTGCACAAAGCAGCAGAACGGATGCTATCCATACCAGGAAAGATCGAGTCAGCAACAGGATCCGATCAAACTTTTGAAACTTTAAATTTGCCGTAAATATTTTTCAGAATACTTAATTTGCAAACATAAAAAGCATATGTGAAGATCTAGCTAGCTTAAATAATAATTCCACAACATCTTACTTACTAGATTATGTTCGTACGCTGCAACAGGATAACCACTAAGGCCCCATTTGGTAGGGCTCCTCTCCGGCTCTGGCTCCAGCTCCTGAGCCCTAACAAACGGTTTAGTAGGATGAGCTGTTTGGAGCCGTTTTTTAGTGAAAAAGGAGGAGCCGGAGCTGTCTTGGAGGAGCCTAGTGACACAATCATATTGATCTATTCAGAAATACAATGTTTGTAGCTTGAATAAACACATCTTGTTCAAAATCAAATGGACCTTGCAGAAGATGGTCCTATCGTTTTTCACTTCCACATTGTGTTCTTTGCCAGAGGTAATAGGGGTTGGGAGCTTCGTGACACATGGCAAACATCACCTCATTGGTATCGCGTACTGGAACTCAGAGTCTGATAGAGGGCAACATCAGTAGTAGAGAAATGACCTTCGGTTCTCACGTTTAGTCCCGGTCGTGTTAGGGTCCAGGACTAATGGGAGCATTAGTCCCCCGATCTAAATATCACAGAAACAGGAGGCTCTTTTGTCCCGGTTGGTAACACCAACAAAGACTAAAAGTCACCCTTTAGTCTCGGTTGGTGTTACCAATCAGGACTAAAGGTCTCCTCCAATCTAGGACTAAAGTACCCCACACGTGACTAAAGATCCTCCACGGGTGAATTCAAAAGGAGAGCACCTAGAAATTAGTCACATGTATTATGTGGTTGAGTTGGTAAGAAAGTTATGCGCAAGACAAGAGATCCTGGGTTCGAATCTCACGCACCGCAAGAGATCCAAGGTCCTCGGGATTCCCAGGACTAAAGGCGGATCCACTATCCCGGTTAGGAAACCAGGGCTAAAGCCCGTTTCCAACCGGTACGGTCCATTTCTCTGCTAGTGACGATGCATGTATGTGAACTCACGTCTCGTCAATCACGTGTGTTTAAAAAAAAGGAAAGAGATGGGCTCAAATGTGGACCGTGGACATCTAGAGAGGCTTGTGCGGGCATGGGCCCAAGTGTAAAACTTCAATCACCATGTTTGCAACTTTGCATGCGTCCATGATTGGGCTAGTCATCTAAATTACCTTGATTGATTGACTGACTAGTAGGTGGAAGTTTTTTTAGTTCACGGCTTTACCACAGCCGGATAATTAAACGGTCCCTTCCATTCGTTTTAGGAGTTGAGAGTTGGGATTAGATATTACTTGAAGCATAACTGGTGCACACGTTGCTACGAGAATCACCAATGAATTTTAGTGAATAGTGTGATATATACACTTATATACATAAATACATGTCAGTGGATGATGTGACTTGCTATCATAGGTAACTTGTATGAATATATGTGTGTCATAATTGCATGTGCTAATAGGCTGCTGATGTGGATGGCCTATATGTTGAGATAGAATTCTAGTGCGAGATAGAATTCTAGTGCGACTTAGAATTACTGTCGAGATAAAATTTTATTGAGATTTAGAATTATAAAATATATAGATATAGATAACTCATATTTTATTACAATAATATATTCGAAGCTTTTGTTATCCTCTCAAAAAAACTAAGGACCACAAAACCGCAACGGCTTAAAATACCAGAGGGAGTAGCAAGCAAGTACACTTCATTCGTTTGTAATAATATATTGTATTGCAATAATATATTCGAAACTTTTGTTATCCTCTCGGAAAAACTAAGGACCACAAAACCACAACGGCTTAAAATACCAGAGGCAGTAGCAAGCGAGTACACTTCATTCGTTTGTAATTAAAGAGAGAGAACAATACATTCACCGAAGGTTCACCTGTCAATGAAATAATTGCTCGGTGCTCTATTCAAACTTTGGAAGAATATTAGGTATAGATAAAGCTAAGTACTCCGGACCTAATAAAATCAAAAGAAAGAATACATGGATGGAAGTCTCATGACATGGAATTTTGTGGAACGCTGTTCATTGCCGCGCATCTATCAAAAGAAAGAATACATGGATGGAAGTCTCTCTGAATTTTGTGGAATGCCGTTCATTGCCGCGCATCACTCACTGCTACTGGGAGTATTTGTAGAGACGCGATTGGGAAATCTTTATACTATTTTCCACTGCCTAGTTATACTATTTTTCCACCTCTACAAATCGTTATTCAGCTAGAAACCATATATCTGCAAATCGTTATCCAGCTAGAAGTCATACATCTGCATCGATTTTTCAGGTGAAAAACAAACGTTTCACGGCCACGGGGATCGAAACCCCGACCTGCAGCCTCAAGCGTATCTCCTCTAATCACTCCATTCATAACTCACTTAAATCCATATAAGATATTTTTTCTCGTCGTATTATCTTCATCCGATTTTAAAATGAGTATTTGAGACCTTAAACGAATTCAAATGAAAACATTTTCAACTGCAAAGTTGTATAACTCTTTGAAATCTACAACTTTGGTCCTAGTTGTTTCTTTATCAAGGTCGTTTAAAAAAATTCAAATTTTACCGTGTTGCACCTATTTTTAGAGATAGCTTTTACATCGAACCACCTTTACAAATCAATTTTTAGAGGCGACTCTAGATCCAACCGCCTTTATCTAAAAATCGATTTGTTAAGGCGGCTAGATCTAGAACCGCCTCAGGTCGGGGCATTTGTAGAGGCGCCTGAAAATGTATTTTTAGAGACGGCTTGGTTCGGACGGATTTGTAGAGGCAGCTGTAGATTGAGCCTCCACTGTTCAAAAAAGGAGCCATTGCTAAAAATTAAATCTGTACTAGTGCCTTAGCGCATTGTCTTAAACGGATTTCTATTTTAATACAACCCTTCTACGTTATTGGAACAAAATCTCAATATAAAGTCACGTCATGTATATATAGTAACAAATGTCGAATTTTATAGGGGATTAATTCTTTTACCAAGATTTGACAAACCTTTACTTCCAAAAAAAAGATCAAGCTCCTAATTCTCAACGTGTTAATACGATGATCGAGCAACTCCAGCAGGAGCACCCAAATCAGGGCCCCTACTTTTAATTTGGGTGCTCCCCTACTTTTCTTGGGCCCCTATTTTGTATCCGCTCCAACAGAAGCCCCCAAACCAGAGCCCGCAAAAATATGGCATGAGTCACTTACAAATGGGACCCATATGTCATTGAAGGCAAGTTTTTCTTATCTTTCTTCCTCCTTTACTCAACACGTGCAGAAGTGGGCTCCTTTCCTCAACACGTGCAGAAGTGGGCGGGCGCGCCCACGCGACTGTGCAGAGGCGGACGGGCGCGCCCGCACCCACGCGGCGGCGATAGAGGTAGACAGGAGAATGTTCATATTGCAGATGTAACCTAGTTTCTGAAGCGGGACAACCTTTGCAATGAAGGAAAGAGTATGCTAAAGAAAAGGACAGAAAACGCAAGCATTATAAAGCTATCATCCTAGTAAGTGAATGTAGGATCATCGTAATACAGTTGAAATTTGAAAAAAGTGCTACTTAGGAGTTTAAGAATGTTCAGATTCTTAGTCAGCCAACCAAAACCCTTTCTGCAAACAATTAATTCATCATCATCATTATTGTTCATGGAACAAAGCCGGTTGCTTAAATGGGTAACTCTTCATGTCAATCGTCACAGGAATTAGTGGACTACATGCTTTTCTTTCAACGAATCACTCTTTTACACCAAAAAGAACTTCACTTTGTTGTGGTACTCAATCATGACCTTCTGCAAAGAAACTGTAATAGATAACTAAAGAGATAAAATTGGACAGAGAGGATGCTAAAGTGAATAGATAATTAGATAGTTGTCTATCCTTTACCTAAGCAATATCACAAACACATGGTGTGCTAGAGTAGAAACCAAATATGATTACCCACCGGTGGGGGAGGATGGCAGGGACAGGGGCTCCTCGGGGACGTCGGCGAGGAAGTCCAGCGACGGCTCCAGGAAGTCGGCGAGCAGGTCGAAGTCGATGTGGAGCGGCGGGAACTCGCCACCGAAGCAGTCGTCAGCGGAGGAGAGGGGGCAGTCGAACACGCTGCGACTGTTGCTGGTTGCTACTGCCGACGCTCGACTCGTCGGTCTCTAGGGCCGGCATTGCTGGAAGCGCCGGCACCAGCTTCTTGGTCTTGCTGCATGCAGGTGTCATCGGCAACTGCGGAGGGCAGGGATGAGCGGAGCACGGAGGTCAGGAACGCCGCTGCCGCATGGGACTCCTCGCCGGAGTCGGTGGAGGTGGTGGAGGAAGACGTGCTCTTGGACACTGCCGGCGTCGGCGGCTGCGGGAGGCGCTCGGCGACCTCGTCGAGGACAGGGATGGGCACGTCGTCTGGCCGATTCGAAGTTGGTGGTGTCGTGGCCCTGCGCAGCTGGATGCCGAGTCGTACACCTTGGCAGCCTCATCGGCAATGTCGAAGGTGCGGAACCACACCCGCACCCGCCGCATACTTGCCCCATGGGCCGGCCCATGGCTGCCGAAGCACGCTGTGGAACCGGGGCTCGCCGCCGTTGGACTGCCTCTCCCGTCCAAGGTGCACCAGCCTCGGCCTCTCCCTGGCCGCCTCCGAGCATTTTTAAAGAGGGCCCGTGGATTCACCACCATGGCAGAGGAAGGAGAGGCTGGGAGACAGGATCAGGAGTATGGATGGGGAGGCTGAAGGGGAATTTTTTTTTTCTGGTCGGGATCTAGGCGAGGAGTTTTTTATATTTTTAATCTTTTCTATTTAATATTTTTCATAATAACCGTGTCAAAAAAAAATTGTAGATCTAACTCTTTTGGTCACGCCAGGCTGGAATGACCCAATAACGCTGTCGCGCCACATGCGTTACGCGGCAAGATATGCCACATTGGATGGCATTTCCGACGTCGGCGTGACAGTGTTCAGCATGTTCGCTGGTTGGTTTCTAGGCTGATAAGCTCGACTGGTACTGGTTTGTTGTAAGAGAAAAATACTGTTGGCTGGCTGATAAGCCTTGGCTGAAACCAACGAACGAACATGCTAGTTGTCTTGTCGCGCCACCGAAAGTGGCGTGACAAGACTCAACTTTAGAAAATTCATAGCTCTTAGATACGACGCCAGATGAAGATGATTTTTATATGAAAATTGTAGAGCTATATACAACATTTTAATTTTGAGTTTTTTCATTTGAGGACATTAAGATGTTTAAAAAATAATATAATATTTCAGCAGCATAATAATCGCGTACTAGCGCGGGTCGTATTAGAAAAATAATATCTCTTTTGTATGTATCAAATGAAGATACTTTTTATATCAAAGTTGTATCTTTTAATGAGATCTACAACTCTATAATTTTGAGTTTTTACATTTAATGTTGTTAAGATGTTCGAGAAAATAATATAAAGTTTCAGCGGCATATTAGTCGTGAACCAGAACTTTTGTCTCACGAAAAATACATTTTTCTTGAAAGGTGTTAAATGAAGATATTTTTTATATTAAAGTTGTAGCTATCAATGAAGTGTACATACGTACATACGTACATATCGTCCCACACGACATGTACATACGTACTACTATGTTCTTTTTTTAACGTAGAAAAGGCCTTTTCACTATTCATTCACATGCGCACCACCGCAAGATCCAAGAATCACGGGCAGTATCCATGGGCACGTCGTACCGGCTAGGAATCTCGTGCCGTAAGCTATGAGTACGACTGCTTCGAATTGCTAGGAGTACGATGTCGATGGAGGTTTGTGAATCAAAGTTTTTTTCCCCCGGAGGGCTCGCGTTCACGCTAAATTGATGGACAAATGATGAATCAGGAGTCTCTCCCACGTAATATGGGGGCTGTTTGGTTCCAATCCTGAGAAAGCTGCCTGGACCAGACAATATGCTCTGGCCAGATTATAAAAAAACAAGATCTGGCCACAGACAACCAGCAGTCTGTTTGGCTAGGGCTGAAACGATCGTATACGATCGTGGATTATTACTACTGACTAGTTTAGTGTGAGAGAAAAATACTGTTCTGGCTGAAAATTTACGATCGTTTACGACCAAACGAACAGGCTGATAGACCGGGACAGATAGCTTTCCTAGGTATGAACCAAATAGGTCCTTTGGGTTGTTTGGTTTACACTCTGACCTATGCTTCTATGCACATCTAGCTAGGTAGCACATCGAACTTTTGACCTAATAAATTATACACCTGATGTTGCTGCCTGAGCCAGACGAGCCAGCTAGGCACGAGACAATCCAAACTGGTTGTATGGGCAAGTTTGCTTCGCGGTCTCCCAAGTGAGTTGTGTGCCAGGTAGCAATTGTGGCCTCAGGCTTCTGAGGGAGCAACGCTAGTGCTTTGCCTAGGTCTAAAGCAAACAGACTCAGCTAATTAAGTTTCTTACGATGCAACGTGTTTACCTGGGTTTAAGTTCTCAATTTGGTGTGAGTGTTTCTATTTTTGGATTTATTATAAGATTTAATGGTGCTATAAAAAAGTTACTACACAGGTAGTACTCCTATGTGATCCATCGTATTTGCTCTCTCCCTTGCAGGAGATCTCACTGCGCGTTGTATTCCAGGACGATAAACCATCACTGTCTTCGAAACGCCCCAGAAGTACTGATGATGGTCCCAAGAATGGCCCCCAAGAAATCACATGTATGGGAACACATGACTAAGGTACATGCCAAGGTCGCTACCACTAATGCGGACGGGTCCAACAGGAAGGATCCTTACAGAGTGATGTATATGCCATTTGTAACCACCGTGACAAAGTGTTCAAGGCTGATCCCAAAAACGGCACAAGTACCCAGTCGAACCACCTGGATAGCTACAACTGCAACTGCCCTCGCACTAGAGATCCTTTCACATTCGGGTGGTATGATGAAGGTACTGCCTCCGGTCATACTAAACGGGATATGGACGAATATTACTGATATTACATTTGTTTTTATATTTTTGTTCAGATTTGAATTCGAATACGGATAATGTCAGCCATGCTGGATATGATACGATTAGATATCGACATCATAAATATGCGATTTGAGTATTCGGATAAGGATACGGTATCGGATGTTGAATATCTGGACTCAGACACGGATAGATTTAACCCCTCTAAACTGATTCGGTCTCGAATACGGTCGGAAAATATCCGTTTTTTCACCCCTAGCTACAGGTACTCAGCAGGCTGAAACCAAGGAAGCTGGGCCACGAGGGGACCAGTCACCGCAGGCCCAATGTTCGAATCATCGAATGAGTGGGGAAGAATGGGCCTAATAATATAACCCAGGACTAGTCCACGTAATTGTGCTCAAGCTAAGTAAATTCTAGCAGTAGTAATCTGATCGCAATATAGTAATTAATGTTTTACTAGCAAACATGCTCGTACGTTGCAACGGGACATATAGCTTGTTGCACGATCGTTTAGATAACTTGCAGGGTTCGATTATTCAACGATTCCATCGCCCGTTTCAATTAGTCTTGGAACGAAACTCTATGCAGCTCATGGATGCACGTTGTTCAAATTTATCTTTGGATCAAACTTCACGTCATGTCTAGACATGCTACTTTAACTCGTGAGGCATGAAAGAGAATGATGATTGACGAAAACGCTCCGTACTTTAGTATTATATATATGTAGCGTAACAATGGCCATGGGTTGCTTTGGTTAGTGCAAATTTTGATCATAACTCATTGCCAGTTTGCTTCGTGAGTAGTCTATTATTCGTTTTAGTCCATCATTGTCAATTTGTTTTGTGAGCCATGTATATCAACTAAATTTGGATATATCTTGGGTTGCGACAGTAACGTAATCATGTTGTAAATCATGTTTTTTTTATAATAAAACATAAGGATGGAATTCTTGCTCAATGGAGCCAGAATCTGCCCGAATTGCTCCACTTGAGTCATCATCAGCTGTTGCCTCGTTGAGGTGGTGGTGAGGCGCCAGGATCACGGATCTGATACCAGATGTTACCGTACTACGATAGCTCTATTAGATAGTGGAACTGGTTTACAACTCCGGACGACTCGTCGAGTTCTCTCCGTCGTCACCCTCTAGGTACGGTCAAGACGAAAGCCAAGTTTGAGTTCCTCGATCTCCTTCTCTCTAGCAATACATGAAGGAGCCGTTACAGGCTTCACCCCGACTTGGGCCACGCTGGGCTGGAATTAGTTCACCCATTCAGGCCCATAAGCTTGAGGATTTGCCTTAACATACAGTAGCAGGCCACGGCCTGCTTAACTAACAGACTATACTTTTTTTATAAAAAAAAACTCATACAGACCACACTTTCTCCTACAACAGCTTTTCAAATCAAATAAATAGAAAAGTTTCAAAAAAAATCAAATAAATAGAAAAACAATCAACTGAAAACAGAGCAACCACGGTCGAATTGCCGGCCCGTCCGGTGTGCAGGCCAGGCCAGAATCGAAACTCGTATCAGACAGAGCCAGGCCTAAAGCCTCAGGCGGTCAGGCCCGCCCAAATAGCCAGCACAACGGCGAGAGGCACCAGCGAAACGGACAGCAAGACCTTGGCAGTCAGGTTCCAGCGTTGCAGGTCGCGTGGCACCACCAACAACTCGAACAAGGCTCCCGCGAGGCCGAGCGCCGCCGTGCCGACCAGGACGGCGTAGTAGGTGTAGGCGGCGGCGCTGCCGTGCCAGGTGACGAGGACAGCGCCCGGGCTCTTGGAGACGATGAGCCCGAGGGCTGACGCGATCAGGAAGATGCCGCAGGACACCAGCGCGGCCGGCAGCTTGGACGCGTCGTGGATGGCGGCGGTAATCAAGCGGATCAGATTAGCTGGGAACCACGCCATTGTTGCTGCGCTCTACTTATAACCTGATCAGCTAGCTAGTAAGCGGTGTGAAAAAGACTGCGAGGGAAGCCAGGTACGAGCTTGACTAGAGAGGCAGCGAGATACGTGCTATATATATATGTGTGTATGTGTATACCGGGACGGGTGGAGCTTAACCCGGCCGACGTGAAAATAAGCGAAAGGGCGGGTGGAGCTTAACCCGACGTGACGAAGATGGTCGAATGAAAGGCCGGGTTCAGCTAAACCCGACGCGAAGACTGAAGATGGCCGAGCGAAAGCAGGGCGATCGACGGGTGTAAATTCTAGTAGTAATTATTAATCTGATCGCAAATACTCCTAGAAGTAACTAAATAGTATGATTAGCTTGTACAACATGGCATCCAACAACTCGGCTGACCACTACGAAAGTGTTATAAATTCTAGTAGTAGTAATTATCAATCTGATCGCAAATGCTCCAACAAGTAACTAAATAATTTGATTAGCTAGTACAACATGGCATCCAACAACTCGGTTGACCACTGCGAAAGTGTTTTTTATCATATAGCACAAAGGGCGGGTGCAGCTTAACCCGACGTTAAGATGGCTGAGCAAAAGCTCTGGTGTAAATTCGAGTGAATTATATTCATTAATCTGATGTCTAATAGTAATTAATGTTTTCATTAACACATGGCATCCAGCACTTCGCACTTGAGCAAAATGCATGTGGCTCATTTAGTTTTGTTCACTGTGGTACAATATGTCGACTCGAGTTTGAGTTCTCGACTTAGCAAGAGTGCTCCTGTTTTCTAGGTATATATTCCAGGATTTAACAATATTATTATTTTTAGTTGTGCACGACGTTCCCAATAACAGCAATGGCCTTGACTTCGTCACTCA